TTAGATTTATTGTTGTCAATTATTATTGGTTTAATACGGGGAAGCTAGCTACCGTGGAGTTGGTTGCCGGGTTTTTTTCTACGACAATGGCAGAAAAAGAAGCAAACAAAAAAACTTGGCCTGCTTTTCAAAGCTAGTTCCACTACTTTCCTTCCTGCTGGTAGGGTTGTTTGTTTCACAGCATTGGCCACCCTGTCTAGGCCAGTCTTGGCCTATTTTCAACTCCCCAAGTCGTCCCCCCTTGCTTTTCTCTCTTGGACCAATCTCAAATTACGATCAACAGCAGGCTCGTGTCCGGACGGCTCGTGCCCACGCGGGCCGCAGTGCATAAGGAATAGAAATACACGTTCTCGGCCCGGGGTCCTTGCCAACCCTGAACGATCGGACATTGTTAAAATGAATATTATTCAACTACATATACGAATCGCAGCCCTACCCGCGCTGGGATCCACAGTAAGCATCAACGGCTTTTCTTGTCCTCTGTTTGACGACGCTCGGTGAGCTAAAAAGCTCTCTCAATTGACCTGGGAGAATCGTCCCGCTCGGATTATCGACGATCACAAGCTTCCTGCCTCTGCTCCCGAACGCGCAGTCTTCTCCGTTATCGGAGGAGGTGTGCCGCGCGCCACCTCAACAAAGCTCCATATCGTTCCCACCGCGGCGGGAGCGAGTGGCGGTGGGATGCGAGCTATTACACCACTTCACGCGCGGAGGCGGAGGGGGCGGAGGGGCCACATTCCCACACTCTCCACGACACGTTCCCCGAGGACTGCAAGATGTAGGTGGCGCTGTGGGAACCCCCACCGGTTCCCAGTCAAGTGTACATTAGTCCCGCATAAGCTAATTCTCCGACACGCCGTTCGGTTATCCTCCGATTGTGAACAAGAGAATGGAAATGGCTGGGGACGAACCCACGCCCGTCCCATTATGGGCCCTACTGGCTGAGGAGGTGCAGCTGCACTATCCGGGTCGATGATGAAAGAAATGAGTGATTTTCCAACTTTGGCCCCTCTATAGGAAGGTAGGACGGCTCTGTGATCGACATACTCTAACCTGACCAGGCGGAGCTCGCCCCCGCACGACTCTTGACCGCCACGAAAAACCGACCTCGTCTAAGAACCAACGTAATATGCTTCGGGCAACCAGTTTTTGATTCTGTCACTCCACATTCGAGACGGGACGGCCTGTGTTTCCGTCGAGGAATGACCCGACCGCCAAGACCAGACCGTATGACCTGTCACAGCAGCTCCAGACCTGCCCTGCGAAGCCGACGTCAGCATTACAAATAACCCCGCTCGCGGGTTCTCTTGAGCCTTGCGAGGAAACTGAGGATGAAGGCTATGATAGGGCCGAATGTGGCCGTAGGTAAATACGGTTGAACCTAGTCGAGCTGAGAAGGGGGGGGGGGTGTTCGAATTCCGGAAAGGGACTCCTTTTGCGCGAGAGGGCACTCTCCTCACCTAGATCCGCTGGCACGGTGAACGCCCACAAGCCACACCTTCCGAGTCGCCGGGCTTTCTTCGTGTGATGGGGGCCGGAGGCGCGGAAGATTCGGGAGCACTACCAAGGACTGGGCACAATCTCGCCCTCCTTTCCTTCGGTGCCACCACCACCAACCATCCCTGTAGGATCGAGATCGGGTCCGCCAAGCGGTTACATCCAAGGCTCGTGGCTGGGCTGGTTATCCTTCACGGAGCCCAAGTGGAGCGAGGCGGGCGCCTTCCCTTTACCGGTGGCGTATTCGCGACCCTTGCGATCTTCAGGATCGACGGTGATAGGTTGAGTCCATGACGAGCTGGTTCTTTCCGGTGGATGACCCACGGGGAAGTGTGGCTTATTGTGTGTGTCTACGATTTTCCTTGTTACCACTTCCCCTTCCGTCCTCTTTTGATATCAGATATCGCAAAAAACGACAGAAAGGGGAAAAAAAGGCGCAGCTAGTCGTTGCTCAAAATCCCCAATCGAGAACCGTTTCTTCCTACAGGAGCTGAAAATGGCGCGCCTAGTGTCTTCCCAGAAATGTCACTGTCAGGTGGCCTCTGGGTTGTGAAGATCGGCGCTCAGCTCTGGTTGGACCACCGCCCGCCAAGTTAGCGCTTCCGGCAGCTAGGATAACCGAGCTAGACCGGTTTAAACTCGATCCGTCTTTGATCCGGCGGGGGGCTTACACCAACCCCCTCCTCGAGTCTGGAACGATTTTTTTTCTTCCCCGAGTGACATACGTCGGCATATGGGCGAAGAGCACTAGCTAAGGCGGTGGCTTGAGCATGTGAGAGTGTTGGGTGAGCATTCGATACGTTTTTGGAGATAACTCAAGGAACTTATGGCCATGGTCATGTACACACACCCCGGTCTGTATATCCCTGTCAACACCCCTGCAAAACATCCCTGTTGGCAAGCCACAAGAACTCGATTCGTAAGTCGACTATTATTAGGGCAGAGAGGCTCAACGAATATCCGCTCCCCCAACAGCGCCGGCATATGTCGCACCGTTGAACTCCAAGGTGGTGTGGTGTGTATGCAGCTGCACCCGAACGGCGAGGCAGATGGAAAAGGAAAAGATCAGAGTTTTCCTGACATCAACGGCCCCCTCTCCCCCCCCCCCCCTCCCAAAAAAAAATGATAGAGATGC